CTTTATATTCAAAGAATCTGTTGCAATTTTATTTACAAAAACATTTCACTTTGTGGTCATACAAAGTTAGTTATTACAGTTCATTTATGAAGACCACACTAAGGAGAGTTAAATCAAATTTATTAACTAGGTTTATAGGCTTACTGTAATTGGTAATTTTATATCGATTTCCTATATTCATTTTCATGAGTAGATGCGTTTACGAGGGACTGTCAATTCAGTCATTTTATGCTGATAGAAAATTCATTTCTTAATTCATATGGTATAACTTTCATGTTAAAAACAACTTGTCCTTGTCAAAGTGATAATCGTAGAAATCATATTAAAGTTACATGATGTAGATCCGTTCTATCCATAGATTTCCTTCTTTACGACAACTGCCTAGCTCCCACCCTTTCTGTTTTGGAGATTTAATACCCAATACCCAGTCTATCTACACCACCATCTTGTAGGTTCAGGTTCTTGTTAATAGAATATTGCAACTGAAATCCTGCCTTCTCACCAACCTGTTCTGTGGTGAAGATTTTGTTATGCTGAGAGAGTGACAATTTAGACAGATACTACAAATTCGAGTATCAAATTCCAAGATTGCCTCTTTCGTTTGCAGAATTATTCTTGAAATTAATACATTCTATTAAGAATTATCTCCTTAACCACGAGGTGTGTGATAGACTTACCTTCGCGTGGTGCACCCTGGGCAACGTATACTCATACGCCAAAAAAGTCTATTAACTGGTAGTTGACTTCTCATTTCAAACTACTATCACCTCACTATATGTCCTATTCGACTACTTCCATAGTACTCACGTAACCTTTTTTTTACCTTTGTGTCTATCTCTTTTACATCTTTGAAACACTCTTCTGTACCCCCTCCCCCACCCTCTCGACCTTTTTAAATTTGATGTACCTTACTCCCTGTGAAGCCTGAAGTCAACTAAAGGGCTAATGATAACCATCTAAACGATTGCCATTTGATATAAATAAATATTTAGAATTGATTTATTCGGAAGTGGGAAGAGACCAATAGCCCTAAATACTGCAAAAATGCTTATCTTGGGACAGTGCATTTGCAAAGCAATATCTCGTGGAGAGCTTGATCGCCGATTGTCTGCGGCAAATTTCACACTCAAGTTCCAACAAGGCAGATTTTATCTTTTTTCGACTGTTATGCTAAGTCCTATTCTTACTAATCACGCAGTGAAAGCCAAAATGCCCCCCCCCCCGGGTCGGGGCTGATCTATCGCGAATAAAGTATACAGTAAGGTTCCGTTTCTCAAGATGCAATCACCAACTCATTAGCAGCTGTGTAAAAGAGAAAATACAGCAACGGTTTTACAATAGTGCAAGGATGACTGTCCCCATCCAATAATAAAGCTATCAGCCAGTGTTATTTTTTTTTACTTCTCAATTTCTCATCATTCGGTATTCTACTTTCCCTGCAAGTTGATTAAAAGACACGTTTCACAGAATTACTTTCGTTTTCATTTGTGAAATTTAAACGCAATTGAAAAAAAGCTTTTAAAATTTTTTTTTCTATTCCCTCCATAAACGACGTAGCAGCACATGTGCACTATAACTCAGGAGTATTTATTGTCTTTTGTTCCAACGTGCGCCCACAGATCTAACTAACAAAGGCGGCAAAATTGGTCAGCAGTCTGTTTCTCAATCCTTATTGTCCTCGTTCATAGATGATATCCCCTCTTACCTCTCAATACCTTCCAATATTCATTAATCATTTCTACTTTGCGTGCCCCTTAACAAGTACGTATTTATCCACATCAACTTTTCGTCTTATCAATCAAGTAGGGCTCCGATGTTATGTTGGAAGATTGTGATTTCTATGGGAAGATGTCAAGTCTACTATGAACTAATTCCATAAGCCGACTTTCCTAGAATTTCAAATACTATGTCACAAGTGCTTATGCAGTGCTTGGATAACGCCTCATGGAATTTCTGCTACGTAGCTTTTATAACCGGGCAATTGAGTTGATTGATCAAAAAGTTCCAAATAAATCTGATGTGAACTCACCCCTGAAAAAGTAAGAAGTAAATAATGAATATGGATTGCTGGAGCATTGCTGGAACACCTCTCCAACCAACGCCACCCTCGGCTATTTCCTCCATATTTTCACTTTCTCACACCAAGACTTGTATTTTTACACTGCAAGGAGTAATGGCAGTAAAGTTATATAGTGAGGCAAGCGTTTTTTATTTCCACTGTATGCAAATGCCAATTTATGCTAATTAGAGGTCAAATGCTCTATAAACCAATCCCTTGCAGATGCGAAATCTTCTTCGCTATAGGATGGGATTAATAATGTTAACTAATAAAATGAAAAAAAAATTGGATGAAAATGGAAAGAGTGTGCTCTCAAGTATTTGATATTATTACGATCTAAGCGAACAACATCCCCCCAATCAAATTTGGAGCTGCAGACTCAAGATTGTACTCTACGGATTTCCTGTCAACAAATATCTGTCTATTGATTTCAAATGGTAGGCGTTTTGAAAGTTATCATTAGCTCTTTAGATGACTTCGGGCTTCACAGAGAGGAGAAGGAGGAACATCAAAGTGACAAAAAGATCGAGAGGGGGAACAGAAGAGAGATCCACAGATGTAAAAGAGACAGACAGACATAAAGGTAGAGAAAAGGTGAGGTGAGTATTGTGGAAGTGGTCGAATATGACATACAGTGGGGTCATGGTAGTTTGAAATCCGAAATCAACTGACGTTTAATAGACTTTTTGACATATTATATTCGAATATGACATACAGTGGGGTCATGGTAGTTTGAATCCGAAATCAACTGACGTTTAATAGACTTTTTGCCGTGTGAGTATACGTTGCCCAGGATGCATAACGTGGAGGTAAGTCTATCGCACACCACCTATCAATAAATATAATGTGATGTGCTGATAAGGCGTTCAAACTAAAAAATCTAAATACATGAAACTAACTTCCCATTCAATCACAATTAGGGTACACTTTGTTCCCAATAAAAACTTCTTTGAAAAGTGACAAATACCGTAAGGTGCTTATCTCATCATTTGCTATTTTCGTGTGGTCTCAGAATCAACGATGGCGACTCAACTTTGGTGAATAAGTCCAACCTCGGCCAACGTCAAGATGGTACTTTCTCAAAAAAAATGGCATTCAGACAGTTGCCAAATTTGAAGCAACTGGTTTCAATGCTTATCAAGGATGTCACAAAATAGATTGCAAAATGGACATGGTGCCAGAAGAATGATTAGGAAATAATTTAATTTTAGGTATTACTTAATTAAATAGTAGAATATACACCATGCATGATGCATTATTTGAAATTTCCTCAAGCACCATGTTGGCAGTGGGAATGAGGTTTGCTTGACTGTCTTTGGATTTGTCCAAGTGCAAGCATCATTGGTGATCCATCACGACTTCTAACTCTAGCTCATAATTTCCAAAATTCACGACATCCTTCGCGGACCTTCGCAATCAAAGTGAATGCTACTGATCTGAACGACGCCAAATCGCCCATTTAATTAACCTAAAGGAGTCTGCTTAATTTCTTACACAATACATAGAAATCTCGTATGTATACTCGAGCGTCTACCTTTGGTACCGTATATGCCTGGAAGATTAGCTTTCCACATCCTTATCAAAAGTTTAATTATCTCAAATGTGAAACTCTATAAGCATTTATTACTTTCGGAAGCAGACGATGGGCTCAACTCTTGTGGGCACCGTTCTTATTTGCTATTTTACTATCTAATCTCCTTCAATCAGGGACTCTGTCATCTGCTCAGAACGCAATTCTACAGTTGCCCATATCAAAATACCCTATCACGAGTTAAGGTTGTTGAATGCACACGCATACCCCTTTTCTAAATACCTTGGAATGAGTACCCCTCAGCCAACCCAACTCTGATGAAGCGAATCTATAGCTCATCGGTATTATCACACGGCTTTATTCCACCGTTTTCATCGTGGAGATACGACGACAAAATCTCTTCAATGGCGCTTTAGAAAGGAAATTTCAACAAATTGTCAAATCCTCATCTACCAATGAACATCACGAAACCTGGAAAAGTACGGAACTGAAGGCTTCAAGGTCTAGCACATAAGCATCAAAGACCTCTGGAATTCACCTGAAACCACCCCCAAGCGAGCACAACTGTTACTAGTCCCTTCTACTCCATTTTGGCGTCAATAAGAATGGAATCGGGTAAAGAGGCTAAGCACAATCCTAAACCATCTGAATATTTTACATTTCAATATAAACTACTCTCATTTCAAAGCATGGCCAACTCAGACTAAGACTCCGGATTTCAGTCACATTAAACACCCTTTTACTCGTTTGCTATTCACATTAGCCACATGCGTACTCGTGATTAAAGTCTACAACTTTTTATCGCCACGACAATAACACGATTTGCACTTAACCAAACCGCAATCACCACCCGAAAAACTAAGCTACCAACCAAAACAGATAACAAAACCAAAAAAAACCAACCCGACCGACTAATGTACAAAAGGCAGGAATTTGACAGCCGGGTGCACATTTGGCATAATAGTAAGCTAATACATGGGTGATAGGCATAACCCACCTACACAATCTACCATCTTGTCAAAAACGCAATACAAACACCAGTAGCCGGAGGATAAATAATTCCACCCTTTAGCATATTATCCACGTCTGTATTAAGGAAGGAAATAAACAATCTTATCTCACAGATAACTTTCCCAGTGCAAAACTACTCCAATTCTCATATTACAGGGCGAAGTCTGTTCCTATGCTTCAAAATAGAAGGCCTGAGGGAAGGGTCAATAAGAGGATTGTAGCATGACCATTTCTGCGTGGTTGTAAAGAATATTACGCGAGAGGAGGAATATGTGCGATAAACGGAACAATATACACGGATTAAAGTGATAAATAAACGAGGGTCGAGTGTTGAGGCGGTGCACCAGAAAGACACAAACAAGAGTGGAAATTAAAAGAGCGAGACTCAGTTCCTTCACTCTAGAGCTTTCCAGTCGTTCCAAAACCTACATCATCCCCCGAAGTAGCTGCAGCCGTGTTCGTCGAGGGCATCATCTTTGACCCGGAAGCTCCGCCAGCATTTACACCCCCTCCTCCTACTGTTGTACCGCCAACAGTTGGCATAACATGGGCCACCGCATTTGAGTGTTGCTGCAAGGCAGACGACTTCTGACGCAGAAGAGTCCAGTCGAATACAAAGTCCCAACTAAAAGCCAGAGCTTTGAAGAGCGAGCGGAATTGACCGCGATAGAAAGTATAATCTGGCGTTTCATCGAAATGCAGATTACGAACATAGGTTAGGTAGAGAGCGAATTCAGGTGGGAAACCACGACAGAGAGCTTCGATTGGCGTTGACATCTTCTTCTCGTGAATTCGCTCATACTTCTGTTTCTTTGTGTTTGCCTTTAGATGCATAAAAAAGCCATACATTTAATTCAAGTGCCAATCAACCTAAAAATCCATATATAGATTAGATAATCGATTCGTTAGTAGACCTATACAGAATCAATATCCATTGGCCCAAATTCTACGATTATGATGACTGTAATCGTAAAGATCGGGAGTTCAATAGGTGTCAGGATACAGATATCCAAAATCATCAAGATTGGCAAAACGTACCTTTGAAAAAAGTCATGTATTTGCTTAAAAAAAGCAGTAGAACTTACGTCTAGTTAATCGATAATAGGGGTATTAGAAAACAGACCTTACTTCTCGTGCCAAATTTTAGCCCAGAGTAGACACGACCACTATTTAGCCTACATAAAAGATTCTGGAATGTTAAAAAAGGTGACTTGAAAAAAACTGTTTTTGCAAGTACTTTCGTTACATTAACTAATCAAAACAATGAACCTAAGGCTACTCTGAAGTATGAAAAGGGTAGTAATAACCAACGCACTCCAAGTACAATAGTGAAAAAGGAAGAAAAGCAAATTGAAAATTAAAAATGTTTGTAATTATTTGAATTTTCCCATAATCCATTCAAAGTCGTCTGAAGGCAAAAAAAATCGTACGTCCGAATTGGTCGCGTTGACAAGATTGAGGCGTTTATTGACATGGAGATATTTTTGCGTCCAAGACAGCGGAGATAATCCGCTCATTTAGTTTGAAAGCCACATAGCAATTAATAATAATACCCATCCAAATAAAGTCTAAAGAATAAATATTTTGTAAAAAGAGCAGACGTAATTCCCAATCAAACTCTGTTAGACGTTAAAAAACCAAAATATTTGACTTATTCCAAAATGGAGGAGGATCTAAAACTTAAAGTGGCTTGTTCCCAACGGAGAGACAGAAAATTCAAAATAAACAACCCAATTCTGCTAAGATGAAATAAAGCCTAGTCAATGGGGTAACTGGGGGAAGGCACCGAAAAAACACAAGTATAAAGACAAATTCAAATAGACTTTAAGGAGCCGTCTGATATCACCGATTGAATTCATTGCATTATAGAACAGTAGACGATATTAGGTACTCAACCACTATATACTACTTAGTTATATTGATAAGTAAAGTACACTTCCCCATTAATTTCATAAACACCTCTACAATATTCATTTCCCTCGGGCATAAATTTGCCATAACGACAATGAACAATGCAGTATATTCCATGAAACTAAACAAATTTGCAAAAGTTAATAGAAGACCCCCTCAAAGATGGAAAATGAATTTAACGAAAAAAATGATTACTTGGCATAGATAAAAGGAGCAATCGAAATAGACACTAGAGGCGACATAAATTAAATCAATCCTTGCGCGCATTTTTTTCGCAAACTCAGCGAAGAACAAACTATGAATTCACAAAATCGTGCTGAACTCCAATAAGGAGAGGAGAAAAGGGCGCCTGCTGTTGAACATTAACGTGGTTACACATAAAGAAGATAAGAATGGGTCAAATATATGAGGATTAAAGTCTAAATCACCATAAATGCGCATGCGCAATTAAACTCGATCACACAAGTGAGCCACGATCTCTCAGGGTGTGTGCGTCATTTAATTATGAATTCACGAATACAAATAAAAACGCTCACATACAAGCACACAAGAAGAGGACTGAGTTTCGTCTCCAAATTATTCGCAGTGTATAAAGACGTGCATAACTAGCGTATATTTGAAATCGAGAGTAGCAAGTCCTTTGGACTTGTCTAGGTGAAAACAATCGATACATCTTTACCTTAAAGTTAGTAACATTTATGCCTTCTTCCCGTTTTCAATTATGAAATATTTCCACCTCCCCCACCACCCCCATAAAAAACTAACGACATTGGAAAATACTCATGAGGTAACTGAACATTGTTATTTATAAGTTGTAACATCTAAAAATTTGCCAATTTTGTGTTAGCTGGAATTACATTAGCAGTCCTGATAATTTATTGTGCGGCCTTGAACAACAAACACCTATTAGCGTAATGATATTGTAGGATGTATGAACTTAATAATAATTTATTAGCAAGCACACTATACAAAGGTTCAAATTAATACAAAGGAGCATAAAGATTTAGAGGATGCATGAGAAGGAGGAAATTGGAAAGGAAATTGAAGGGTGCAGGGATTAGAAGAAGCAACTATCTTGATATCTTTCTCGTAGCAAAAGGATTTAGCTGAATTTATCTCATGCTCTAATGGAAAACCATTGTGTTTTCACAACAACTAACAAGGTTGTCAACTTCACAGTTTCGCGCTTTGATACTTTTGCATTACTCAATACCGAAAAGGGGATTTTTGAAGGATTTGCTTAGACAGTGTTAATTGAGACCTGTTCTCAAAAAAGCAAAGGCTTAGAATGAAAAAGAAAATAAAACACTAAACAAACAATTAAAAATTCCAGGGAAATTTCGGATGAAAGAAAAGTGGAGTTGCTCAATGATTGTATCTATCAAAATAGAAACATTTAATAAATGTACCATTTCAAAGATATAATATTTAGACGAATAGACACATATTAGTCTGGATAACTATAATCTGTAATCATGCAAACAATTCCGGACTCTGATAAATGAATCTCCATAAAGTAAACATGTAGAACACTAAAATCCCCATTAAAAGCCATCTAATTATAAAAGACCGGAGTTACATTCATTGACCGTGAGGTTCTAGGATTGCATAAATGTGAAACAGAAAGTTTTGGTTTCGATAAATGACTGATGTACGAGAAAATTATTGAGTAAAATAAATAAAATGATGAATGAGCGAAAACACAAAGAAAATCAGAAACAACAGAGCATTCGGAAAAGAAAATGAGATAACGAGGACAACAAAGAATAGAACGCGCGACTCAGTAAAAATCAATAATGACTCACCCTAAGACCTTGCCAGGGAAGTGAACCGCAGAGGAAATACATGAGCACGTAACCAAGGGATTCTAAATCATCACGACGAGATTGTTCAATTCCAGCGTGAGCATTAATGCTCGCATAACGAGCAGTTCCTGTAAGGGCTTTGTTCTCCCGATAAGCTATATGACGACGTGTTCTGCCATCTCTATTTTAAATCAAAATGGAGATAGATTAGAAAGATATAAATCAAACAAAGTACTAGCGTCGTAATACATACCTGAACTTTTTAGCCAAACCAAAGTCAATAATGAAGACCTTATTGCAATGTTTGCCAATACCCATAAGAAAGTTATCTGGTTTAATATCTCGATGAATAAAATGACGAGCATGAATGAACTCAAGACGCCAGAGTATCTGGTCAACTAACATTAATACTGTCTTCATTGTGAAGCACTTGCTGCAGAAATTAAAAAGTTCTTCCAAGCTGGGACCCAGAAGATCCATAACCAAGGCGTTGTAAAGATTATTGACCCCATCAAGACCAAAGTATTGTATATGTGGTAGGCCAGGCGTGTCCTAGTTGAAATGAATCATAAATCGACAAACATACAGCGAGGATTTTGTACACTTTGCTTTCAAAATACAACTGAGGGTGTCTGGCAGACACTCGTTCTAGTTTAACAGCGACTTCTTCACCGGTCTGAACGTGAATTCCGAGAAAGATTTCACCAAATGACCCACTACCAATCTTTCGAACAAGCTTCCAATTATCGTTGACCACAAAGTCGGAGCCCGAACGAGCGAAAACACCTAAACCCAAGTTCTTGATGTAAATATGTTAAAACAACCAAATATCTTACCAACCTTGTCGACCATTGGCGTACAATCAGCCCCAAGACAAAAAGTGCGGGTACTCAACTAACAATTCAAACAAAACATATACAAAAATGACTTGTTATTTTTAAAATCATTTTTGTATTTAATTTAACAAAAATAGTTAAGAATTTAGATTTTTCTTTTAGCGCACAGTTCAAATCATTTTACCTTCATAGCACATGCGTTCATTCGAATATGCCCGTTAGGCGGGGTCATATCGCTCCCAAAAATACCTACATTGACACCCTTATTAAAAAATTTGACAACCAATGTAGGTTCTTTTTTTAATTCTATTAGCTGTTCCAGATGCCGCTTTTATTATTGCAAATTCAAAAATTGCATCGAATCCAATTATTTATTGCAGTGCAGATTTTTGTGACTTATTTTCTTTCACCAAAGCGCAATTACTTTTAAAATCATCTTCTCTTTCATTTTTGTACGGCGAAAATACTACTTCAGAGTCAATACAGGCCTTATCAGATGGATTAGTTTGTGATCGTGAGGTGAAAATCCTTTTAAGTCTCTACACTCGCAAAGGTAACTGTTTATTTTTTGTTATCCTTTCCACTTTTTTACACAGATGAAGTACGGCAATGTGAACTTACAGTCACCCCGCTTACTGATGAGCTGGGTCGTATTGCATTGCATATCATCTTCTTTGAAGCAGTCGAACAGGTTCAGCCAGACAAGAAGCCATCTCGACGTGTTAGTTCACGTCGTCTTTCCAATATTGCCACCATGATATTTCATCGTAACGGCAAAGAGGTCCCAAGAAGTAATCTTCATCGCACTCACCACTTGAGTCAATCCGTTCGGAATGAGGTCTTACCTAAGCAAGTTGTCCTTAGTCGTCGACCTTCAGAAAACATTCCTACCGAAAACAATAATCGTGTGTCCATTTCCAGCCTCTTTCTTAATGGTCCCAAAAGCTCACCTGAAGCTGTCGATCCTAAAAAAGGTTGTCGACCTAATCCAGAGTCTCTCCAACTGTGCACTCGCTTCGATTCTACTAGCATGGATACGGGAAATTCTGTTACACTTCGTTCCTCCGCCCCAACCTCCCATGTTTCCGTAGGTAATGAACCACCAGTCAAGCGATCGGAAATTCGTCCCAAGTCTTGCACAAATGCCCCCCTATGGCCTGTGCTACAATCCTCAGAAACTGAGTCTACTACTGATCGCGTTCGGCCAGCATCGGCTGTGTTGGGTGCTAGGTGTAGTCGGTATGTTTTCCCATCTCTACTTACTCGTGGAAGTAGACTTTTATCAGCTCCAGTTTCTCAGACATCTCTTGTTTTGAGTGATGCTGGTACACTCCAGCTCGTGCTTGGCAAACATGGGGATCAATCGAAGTCTCATGTCACTGACACTTTCGCCAAGGTATTTTTATTTAGGATTTTTTCCAATTCCCTAAGCCTTCGAGCTCATTAATGCTCCAATTTTTTTTCCAATTGTAGATACTTTCCTTAGATAAGGACCTTCACGAAAAGAGGAAACTTGAGTCTAAACACATGCATAAGTACACTCTCAAGCATTACAGTCCAACTCGAGCCGTGTGGGATTGGTTTATTCTCATTTTGGTCATCTATACGGCAATTTTCACGCCTTACAATGCGGCTTTTTTGCTCAATCATAATGTGAGTCTACAAGCAGTCGCTTTGCTTTTTACATCTCTTTCGGTGTACTTCGGTCATTACATCATGTGTTCTTTAATATTGTTTTCACTGATGTGTTGGTAATTAGCATGCTGTTTAAGCCATTTTTAATAGGCCAACTGCGAACAAAATTCAGTACAAAATCTTGAGTTTATGTGTTTATACTTAAAGCGCATAATTTCTGACTCAGTTTTCCGAGCTGTTGACTACCATGAACTTCGACTGTAAATGCTTCGCTCGGCTTTAGGAATTCGCTATTAAATTTTTCTACTCTCATCCCAAAAGATGTCTAGACCGTTACCGAGGTATCAACCAAGACATCGGTTAGGGGATGGATTGAGTGGCTGCCTTTGTGGACATCCATAGTTTTTCCACACTAGCGTTGTTGAAAACGATCGACTTGTTGTCTCCAATGGCAATTCGGTTTAGGGAACAATGAACCGTTTGTATTGATAATATAGAAATATACTTCTCTCCGCTTACCCGTGTTATGCTATAGATTTGATTCGTCATCATCCAAATCCCATCCTATTCAAATGACTGATGACTTTCAAGTGTAATTGCACAGTGTTGAGTATGGATATGCGAGTTTTTCTGCGATAATTCTAACAGAGTTAATTGAGAATCTGATTCAACCAATGATTCTGAGGCATTATGTTCTAGAACATAGTCCATCACCATTCTCTCTTCGAAACGTATGCTATAGTTGCCTCATGTTCGGTACTTCTGAAATATTATTGACGTTTCGTTTTTATGTTTTATTATAGGGGGGGGAATTGTTACAATTTAAGTTGTGCGACTGTTAACAAATATGATCTTTCTACACTGGATTTACAATTAAGAGCTTATTTGATTTTAATAGAGTTGTTCAGGCCCATCTAATGTACAATTTTCGGAAAGATTTTAAAATTGTTTGCAATGTATTTCTTAGTTAACTTATTCTTATTTCTGATTTTCTTGGTGTTGAAAGGTAAACGCCTATTTATCTGTCAATCTAAATTACCCATTTCTCAAGTACTTCACAAAAATAATAATTAACTAACACTTGATTTGGATTTTTAACTCCATTCAGAGTGAAGCATTTCTGCATCTATTCAAGTTTTTTGGTGATATTAATTACCAAGTCCATTGGCACACCTGAATCCTCTTTAATGTCTCTTTTTTGTTAGTTGAGAGATTGAATTGACAGCACAAGGGTCCTAGAGTTCGACAGTTGGAATTGGCTTCTACTTGTGCGGTTTATTCTGTGCGAAATAGTTTCGCCACATTTTAGTTGTGTTATTTGATAAACATTATTCCATAGTTTGCTTATGCATAACGAACTTTTCAATAAGACTAATGTCTTTCCTGAACCTTTCCCCATCAGAAAAAGGAGTTCACTTTCGCTTCATTTCGTCAAAATTACCTCAGATGCCTAATTTACAGTATTCTCGGAAGAATGCATTTCCAACAAATCTTTATATATTAGTGAGGCGAATTGTTGCTTACTGTTCAATAACTCCAGGATTCTAATAGTCTAGAATTTATCGATTTGGAGTGACGTACTACTTGTTTTTATTGATACATAGCCTTGAATATTACAGAAGTTAACTATCGTCCACGAACTATGACTTAATTCTTGAGAATGCTAGCATGTTGTGTAGTGTACTAATTTTGTCGAACAAAGCATACAGTTTAGATTTGAAATTATTAAATGAATCAATGGTATAGTGACTATTGAGGTAAAATATATCCAGTATGATAATGTTGTCCTGGACGAACTCTATCAAGAAACGAGGTACAGATCCTAATATGTGCAGCTGAGAAGTGCTGGAATAAGAAGCGATGGCCTATGTCCCAGGTTCCAAATATCTCACTTTATTTGCAATACTCCGGCTCAATTCTCTTTTGTGGTCTCGTTTTTGCTTACTTTCGTGTGTCCTCTGTTCAGAGGCACTTTCGTGGCTTTGGTTATACAATAATTGCTCCTATGCTTTGGCTAATAACAGCAAGATCTCGCTTTGGGCATTGGAAAGATACGCTAAATAGCAATTGATAACTGCCAAAAAGACATTCACCTTGTTGTTGCACCAAGTGGTTCTTTTTAATCCATTGCGTCGTTGGATAAAGCCCTATATGCCACTTATCACAATTTCTGGATGCAACTTTGATTTAAGCTTACGTAAATCGAATGTAATCCTTGCGTTCAATCCCCGTATGCCCAAAGCGCAGCCACAAAATATCGATTACTGAATGCCACTCGCCTATGGTTTAGAATGACTCATCTGATCGACCCATTTATTCACGAGTCGGTCTTATGCTCTCAGTACAAATGCCTTGTTTTTTTCACATTTTCCCTCTGTTTCTTTTTTGCCTCCATTTTCTGCACCACTTTTTATTGATGTCCTATCGACCAGTCTCAACTCCTCACATTCTCCTTTGATAATAGTGGCCATTGTTAGTAGCTGAGAAATTGAAAGACAGTACCTCAACAGGAATTATATATGAGCCTTTACCGATTATAGGAATTGAGCTGAAATTTACTCACGCTCTAGGACTTTCTAAATTGACCCACTAATAAACCCGATATCTTGTCTTATTGTTGTACTTTAACTCTATATCCCACAATGGACAATATTGGATTGTGTTCTTGAAATGTTCCCCCATTAATCTAAATTTTATTATTCGTTTTATTTGCTTAGTTAGATGAATTTTCTAATGTTATTCCTTTTTTTCTACTTTGCACCTACTTTTCTGCACAATGTTATAGTCACAAAATTCGTCTCCACAAATATTAATTTTTAGTAGTTGCTTAAAACCTACTGGTCAATACAAAACTTTTCCAAATTGTAGTTAAAACACAGCGCATGGAATAAAAAAATCGAAGTAATTCAGTGTGGAGTAGATGGACCAAGTGGAGGATGTAATTGGTTCGAAATGTGAATTGTCTCGCTTTGTTTAAATTCCGGAAGTGTTGTATTGCAAGCTCCATTTTGAGGATTAATTTTGTCCAGTGTCAAATATTTCATGTATCGTTTTTCATTTTAAACTTGTGCTTTCAAGAGAGATAATGTTTCCCATACTAATCGCTTATTGACCACTTGATCTAATTAAATGTTTGGTCATATCGATTTACTTCATTTATGTTTACAGGGCAGTATCAAGTAAATGAGGCGGACAAAACCTTTTAAACGGGATGATTAACCACAGTTCCCCCTATTCGAACTCTGATAGTTATTTTCCAGGTGTTTAGCTTGAAGGATTTTAATGTAATTGTATGAAAGTTAATTAAATATCTTATTTTAAACTGTACTTAATTTCCCTATCAGAAGTCAAAGTTCACCTTTCGTCGCCACGCGCAAGTGTGTGTGTGTTTGTGTGCTAGCATGGGAGAAGCTTTTGATTTCTACTGGTTAGCCTACGTTGTTGTCTATTGGAGATCACTTATCTTCAGAGTATTTAGAAGTTATTCATCTTCATCTATTGTTCGCGATCATCACTAATGAGCAGTGTCTCAATCGGCATTGCTTGAAAAGGAAGCTAGTTGTTGTGTGGCTTCTATTTCAAATGAAGCTCTCAAAAAAATTTAAAATTGCTTCAATTCAAGTTTGATTGGAGCTTATTTGATCAGAATAATCAGCCACAATTTGGGTCTTTGCGTTAATTAAGCCAATATTAGGGCGGGATTGGCAAATTTTCAATCGATAAGGTGGTTTTCCTTTGATTTAGAATAACGAGTCTACGCAACTAATTTGGAGACTGTTTAATGAGCTTTAGCTTTTGTGAATTAGAGTTTTACAAGAGTAAAAGTTGACAATTTGCTTTTTATCTCATACTACGTAATTTTGTAAGATTGACTGGTGGTGTCATGGTAATCTTCATAATTGCAGTGGTTAGTTGGTGACAGGTGCTTAGAGTTAACACATATTTTACTAAACATTAGTCTATTTATCCGAGGTGAATCAGCTTTTTTTCCAAGAAATCATTTTAATTTTATGGCAATTTGTTGCCAAAAGTAATGCAATTATTTATACTACGTTTTGTGTCCCAATCATTGCTGTCAAATCAATTGCCACGGGTTCACTTCTCATTCATTCATGTGAATAGGCAATTATGGCAGAAAACGAGTTTTTTTCACTGCAGTAATCGTGAGATCTCCCTACTCCAGCCAAGTGCTGTTCATTGACATAATGTATTCTAAAAGTGTTTTTTTGTTATTTTTTTCGTTTTTATTCAAGTCTGCTCGATCAAACCTCATTAGTATTGATCGCCGAAGGAAATTTTGTGATTTCATTGTTGTTTTTTCAAGGCCTCCTTTCCTTGAGTAGTTTTGAGCTACCGACATTATCGTAAGGGGGGAGGGGTTCTATCTGCGAATATGTTAATTTAAGGCAATGAAAGGTAACTAAGTAGGATTCATTCCAGCCCAGTTACTACTAGGGTGAAATGTGTCGTTAGTAGACGGGTTTATTATTAGGCAAGTTGGAAGAGTGGCGTCAGTAAATAGAAAAAAAACGGATTGCTTGGGGGAGTGCAAAGTGCACTAGGTAAATGTTAGACCACGGATGTAATCAATAAGCTGCTTGGCGGAGTTTGTTTCATGATTAAGCGAAGAAGGTATTCAAATGGGCCAAAATGGATAAGGGTATCACGATTATTTATTTATTTCAAATGGTGGGCGTTTTGATAGCTATCAGTAGCCATTTAGCTGACTTCGGGCTTCACAGAGGGAAGGTTCATCAAAGTAGAAGAAAGTCGAGGGGTGGGGAACAGAAGGGCGATTCACAGATGTAAAAGAGGCAGATAGGCACAAAGGTAGAGAAAAAGGTAAGACGAGTACTGTGAAGGGATCGAATATGACATACAGTGGGGTGATGGTAGTTTGAAGTCAGAAGTCAACTGCCGGTTAATAGACTCTTGCCGTATGAGTATACGTTGCCCAGGGTGCACCACGTGGAGGTAAGTCTATCGCACACCCCATGTTGATACTGAAGATTACGTTTATGGATATCGTAGGAATATGATGTAACATCGCAACCACTGTTAATCATAGCGTAGCCCTACCTCCTGATTATTGGTTATAAATGCGTGTGACCATTTAATTTTCGAACTTTTCATGGTTAATCTACTTTCAATTGCTCTTTTTATTTCAGGTGTCCGCCTGCTCTAATGCCCAACCACGCTCGGCTGGCCAGCAAACTATTTTGGGTATTGCTGATAAGTTGGTCGATGTGATGTTCTTTATGGACATTATAATCAACTTTCGGACAACCTATGTAAACAAGAATGACGAGGTGGTCTCCCAGCCTAAGAAGATTGCCTTTCACTATCTCAAGAGTTGGTTCATAATCGACCTTGTTGCAGCCATTCCATTCGATGCTGTCATCTCTAAATCATACGAAAAACAGGTTGGTTGGTCTGTACTTTTATATCTCCATTTTTGATTATTTGAAAACTGTGTGTGTATGTAAAAAACGTTTGTCAGTCATTTGCCTGGATCATGAAAAAAAGCGTTATCCACTATATACTGTGCTTTAAGTGTATTCTATCTGGCATGATCTGCGCCTTCTACAATAAATACTCATTGTTGAGTACATGGTTGGGCTAATTTTTTGACTTCTAGTCCCGTTTTTTGTCGAGATGATAATGAAGCCCTTGTGTAAAATAACGTTTTACTACTCTCCTAAGTAGAGTTATGAACTGCTCAATCTTGTTTGAAGTTGCTATCCAAACAACGACTATAATCTTTCGTAAAAACCTGGAGTCGAACGAGTGAATGGATCTTTCCTCAAAGTGCCTATACTGGACCATCGATCAACGCCAATTTTGCAAAACATCTGACCGTAATTTATCGGTACACCACACCCAGTGACGTGATGGTCAAACCCATCTCCTTATTTTAATCAATTTTGGAGGTGTGGTAGAATGCAATTTTCTCATAAAAGCGGTTTCAAAATACCTTCCACGTATATAAATTTGGTGCCTTTGACGCTTTCTTTAATGGGGTGGAGGGAGGAGGGGGGTTGGGTGGTGGGAGGGGAGGGGAGGGGGGGTTTTCATGCAGTAAATGCGTTGAATAAATGGGGAAGTGAGATTGGTTAATGACTGGAAGAAGTAAATGGGGAGTCAATGCTTGAAGTCAGTATAAACTTATTAAAGGCAGATTGGCTTTAAATGGGAGCGGGGAACTGAGACCTTATTTTACCAAAATTCTATTCAATTAGGAATTTTAAAATGCCCGTGCATTAATGGTGGTCCAATTTCCAATATTAAGCGAGTCCATCATCTCATCTTTTCCTTGACTTTGTTGTCCCTTGTTAATTAAAACGGTGAGAACTGTGTTCTAACATAATCATTCAGAACATTGCTTGAAGTCACAATTAGTTCTATTAAGCTGAAATTATCTGAACTACAAGAATTTAGCAATTTCGCGTAATATTCAATGAAGGCGTAAGATCTTATTTCCATGCAGTAAGCCACGTTAACGTTTAATGTGTGAAGCATTCAAGCATAAAAGTGCTGTCGATATTGATTTGAGATTTTTCCTAAATTGAGTGGACCAAATAGTATGGAAGAGGTTGAACTAATACCAAGGCTATTGTTGTTCATTCACTCTATTTGACGATAAATCATTACTCAACAATAAGAAATATCTTCCGAATTGAAAGAGCTTTTAGTTTAAACTAATGGTCATTTTAGCCAACTGAAGTTATGCTATATTGGCGATTGAAGTTGACCAACTGGTCGCTGCGTTCTTCACCTTTCGGATTTGGACTGCCCAGAAACTTGTGGGCCGAATTTAGAAAAGTGGAGACACCATTCTGAATACAGAATTCTTAATGTTCAAATTTCTAGTTTACTTCTATTAAGTCTTCCCCTTCTTTGACACACCTATTGGTTCAATCTACTGTTCTCTGCGAGAAAATAATTTTTTGTTTCACTATGGGTAATAGTAACGGGGTGTGGGAAGTGCTATTTTTGTCCATTTTTGTTTGGGTTCCAAGGGCTTTTTTCCAAGGACTTTGATTACATTTATGTAAATCAATTGCCAAAGTTCTAAGTAATCGGCTCACTTTTCATTACACCCATTGAGTTTTGCTTGGTTTTGCTGCATTTTTGTCTAGTACTTTGTATATTGAATTAAAAGAGCTCTCACTTTGTTTTTATTTCGTTCTTATGCTCATGATTTGCTTCCTTTCCTGTTGTGCTTATTTTGGACTGTTTTGATTGCTCCAAGTGGTCGACCATTCAATGTGGATTTTTTTCCTCGTAAATGGCCTAAGGCTATAACTAACAAAGTTTTTATCAAATTTTCTCTTGGTGAATTCCTAATATGCGCCTAATTTTTCAAGGTGTATTGAAAAAGTTCACTCTTTTATCGAAGTGATAATCAGAGTTCTTTTATTGGTCATGGACGTCTTTGTGCTTGGAAGACGAGAGGTGGTTTTGAATTTAATAATCAATTATCACTTAAATGTAAGCTTATCCTATTAGTCCTAACTTATTTTTAATGTAACTATTTCATTTAATTAAAAGGTTATATGTAGGTTTCGACTTTGAGTTCCTTCTGTTGAAAACAGGTGAGTGGCAACTGTTGCTTATCTTGTTGCACCAATTTAATTTGGTCTTAATTCATAGCTCAGATTCGGTCAATTCAAAGTATTGTCAAAATAGCCCGATAATGATACTACTTCACGTGATTTTAAAATAACAGAGATTACTCTTCCAAGTCTAATCTACATGGCTTTAAATTCTGGCACTTCGATGATGTGGCCATCTTTTGAGCCATCCAGCAAGAGGTGTCGACTGAATATCTGGGTTTATCAACTTGCCAATAAGCACTTAGCTTCGTGGGCACGAATTTCTTATTTGACGTAGGTACAAATTGGGGATTTTTAAACCTCCACAGTGAAATACGTTTTAAGCAAACACTGCACGACTCGAATCCTAATAGCAATTTAACTAAGAGTACTTTACTGTTCATTAATCTCAGCGTCTTTTAGAGTTCTCTCCTTTCCCTTCTTACATAATTTACTTTTCCTTCGTCATGTGCTGTAAAAACAGTCGTTGAATTTTCCGTACGTTTATTATTGTCATTATGCACTAGATTTTGGCATTTAAAAAGACTAATCGATTCATTATTTCTTATATTTGGATACATCTCTGTCTTTATGAGTTTACCGTACCTTCGATGCTGAATCATATATCTTAGGGAAGGGAAGGTAATGACATATTGGCGGTCCTACGGATTGTGTTTACCCATTTTGTGAGTGAATTACTCAACTTTCATTCCTTTTTAAAGCAACCAACAGCGCTCACAGGGTTACTAAAATCTGCCCGTCTGTTGCGTCTCATCAACGTAGTAAGAAAATTGGACCGATACTCCGAATATGGTACTGCAATTCTTGTTCTCCTTACTTCCATCTTCGTGCTCATTGCTCATTGGTTGGCGTGTATTTGGTAAGTCTTTTTCCCCTTTGAGGTTGAAATTAAGGAGTAACTCTCTTGGAATGAAGCGATGCATGTGAAGATTCATTTAAAATGAGGTGATGGTGAAGGAGTTCTCGCCTGTGCTGCTCTCTTTAGCTGCTTGGTTTACTTTGACTACCGTGAATTTTGCACGATTTGTCTTGATGGTCTTTGTATCGATTCATGTCCATAATTCTGCAATCATTCATAGATGCCTATAGGGTTACAATTTGCGTGACTTATCCTTCAACCCTTCGACATATACCTGTGAAAGTAATTTCTGTTCATTTCAAGAAAGCGATTTTCATATTTTTCTATTTTCACTTTCATTTAGTAATTACATCTTGTAAAGATATGCATTTACAGTAGTTATCGTCTCAAAGATTGATTTTCGAGTGTTATGTCGTTTCTGTCAATTTGCATGCTCTTGAATATATTTAAAAGTCGGGTATTTTATTTTAATAGTTACCTTTCCATTGTCCGTCTCTGATATTAGATTAAAATGTTTAATTGCTTAGAATGATTTTTACGAAGCCTTGAAAAATACAAATTGGACTTTTCTCTACCGGACACTGTTTTTAAGCCCGTTAGCATCTACCTCGAGAGTATCGGATTTTTCTGCCTTTATTTTGATTATTGCTTTCCTTCTCTCCGTAATACACGCGTAAATATAGTTTTTTTTCGGATTAAAATAATCGTTCGGACGTCTTCCAAACTTCGGCCACTTTTCAAAATCATTTTTCTTGAAGTGAGCGCAGTGGCTCTGAAAAGTGATAGTGGGACGAGGTGAGTGTCGGATAAATATGAGGGATGTGCTTAGGACCTGCCAATTTAATTTCAGCGCTTTTTTGAAGGGGGGTACAAGGGGGGGGGAGGTTCATACTTGTTTGAACAGCCCGCCTTGCGGTCATCGGTTATGTTGAAAGACTGTCACTTTTCGAGCGAAATAACTTTGTCTCTTTTGACTTCTAGTATTGTCTTCTAGATTATCGAAGTTGGGGACATCAATTGTTTTTCCACACTAGCGTTGTCGAAAACGATCAAGTTCTCGTTCCTAATATCAATTTAGTGATGAACCCTTTGTATGGATAACATAGAAATGTATTTCTCTTCACTTACCCGTGTTATGCTGGAGAGTTGATTCGTCGTCATCCAAATCCCATCCTATTCAAATGTCTGATGAATTTCAAGTGTAATTGTACAGTGTTGAGCATGGACATGCGAATTTATTGCGATCATTCTGAGTGATTGAGGACCTGACTTAACCAATGATTCTGAGACATTTATTTATTTCAAATGGCAGACGTTTTGATAGTTAT